GCACCCAGTTTCACTTTGGGCTCCCTGCTTTGCACACCTCTCGATCTGTCACTGTTAACATAAAAATGCCCAGTTACTTTGTTAGACAGATTTCGAATCAATTTTTAATTTGAAAGAGCATTTATTGTCATACAGGATAACCAAGCCCTGGGAATTGGGTCTGGATCAACAATAGTATTTGCAGTTGAACGTATCGGTGAGTTACTTTTAGATCCAAATATTAATTCTCTTCTCTAATAAATTGAAACTTTTATGTGGACACTAAGGTCACACACAAAAATTGCTGCATAATTTATAATCTGTGTCTTTAGTAAGCATGCTTTAACTTTGTTTTCAAGGGAATGATTTTTAATATCTTAGCTGTAACTTAAGTTCAAATTGAAGAAGCCTGAAGCTCATTTAAATAGTTAGTTGTCCTACATCAAAGTTGGAAGAAAGATGTGTCAAAATGTCGTGCTCTAACGCCACATGTATTTTGTAATAGCAAAGCATTAATCAGTAGGAAGCTTAAATTTTTTCTAATGGATTTGCACACATGTAATACAAGTAGACACATGTACAGTGTGCAAGATAGCCAGTGTTTATAGAGCTAGATTATCTTTGCAGAGATGCCAACCTAAAAATATCAAAATCTGCGAGATAATTCCAATTTTACCTAAGTGACAGCCCGAAAAAAGTTGTTCAAAGTAAAACTCTGCCAATTTAACCACAAAAATATGCCTCAAATATCCAAAATGTTTCCCAAACATATGTGAAAAATTGGCAGAATATGTCTGAAAGATGTATTTTATGTGCTTTCCTTTATATTGTTCAGGAGATTTGTTGAACTGTATGTGAGAGCAGGAGATTCCGTCTCTATTGGGAAGACTCCCAGATAATCTGAGAGAGTTGGCATAGATGTCTTTGTATGAGACAAGAGCTAGTCACTTGNAGATGCCAACCTAAAAATATCAAAATCTGCGAGATAATTCCAATTTTACCTAAGTGACAGCCCGAAAAAAAGTTGTTCAAAGTAAAACTCTGCTAATTTAACCACAAAAAAATGCCTCAAATATCCAAAACTTTTCCCAAACATATGTGAAAAATTGGCAGAATACATCTGAAAGATGTATTTTATGTGCTTTCCTTTATATTGTTCAGAAGATTTGTTGAACTGTATGTGAGACCAGGAGATTCCGTCTCTATCGGGAAGACTCCCAGATAATCTGAGAGAGTTGGCATAGATGTCTTTGTATGAGACAAGAGCTAGTCACTTGAATTACTTTAGAGTGTCTTTTGTCTGTATTAACTGGTGTCAAAATTGAGTGGACTAATGTGAGAGACAGTGTGCTGG